GGGCCGGGCCCAACACAGACCCCTGAGGGACCCTATATAGAAGGGAATATAAGCTAGGATTCTCTCTTAACCTGAAGAAGACTAAGGTGGTACTCTGGTAAAAGCAAGTTAATGCTGAAGTATTTTTTAATACAGATTATTAGCCTTTATGACTGCTTGGAATACTTTGCAAACCTGCGTGAAGCCACAGACAAGTTTCCTGGTTTAGCAGTACTGGTTGGAAATGTCACCAAGCCCAGCTCCTCATTGCCTTTCAGGTGTGGGCTATTGTCAAACACTGACAGGGGATGAGGTTGTATGGCAGCTCTAGGAAAATTCACCCGGATCTGCTCAAACTATCTTCCTTGATGGGTTAAACAAATTGATTGGACTAACTGATGGATTAGGCTTTATCTAGAGTAGCCTATGTCCAAATGATCACATCTGCGGGTATTGACATGTGATTAGTAAGAAATTTCCAGCAAAAAGGTCTTGACAACATCCAGGGGATATATTCTTTTCTTCTGCTGGATTTTTAAGTGATGTCTTTACTTCAGTTAACTTCATGAAAACATTTTTAACTAGTTTGGAAACGAGTGATAGAAATGTTCTCTTTCACAATTTACAACACATGTTTATCATCAAAGCATTCTTTTTCAGGAGAAAGTTGCTTCAACAGTCTAAACCTGACTCAAGAATAGCTTATAATGGATTTGGCTGGGGCCCATGACCTCACATGAAAGATAAAATGAAACTAACTTGAGACTAGCATCAAAATCAGAGTAGAATTACTTCAGCAGACACTGAACAAATAAATGCAACATCCTGCTGAGCTGGGGTTTCCTGCATTTCTGCGCTGTGGTTCTCTTACAACATTGCCTCCACCACGGCTCATTTAGTTCACTTCAACTTACACATAACACACGTAAAGTTTCTGGTTAAAATCTTTATTAATGGAGAGTTGACTCAAAACACTAATGACTTGTTTACAACTGACTGCATTGCATTACTGCTTGAACTTGAAGATTATTGCATGCATCAAACATCAGAGGGCGTGCAATTCTCAACTGCAAATACACAGGTGATCTGCATAATGCTACCAACCTGCACATCAGTCTCAGTTTCAACTGTGCAGCACAAAACCTTAGATCTACTGATGACAGATACCAATTCCTTATTAACATCGATTTTTCCAAAAAGTAAATGCTTTAACCCTACTACATAATTAATCAGTGAGGCTTTCATCTGGTTCCTAAGGAACAAGCTCTCAAAATTATTTCAGAACTACTTAGCATTTTAAATTATCCTCTCTTCTGCACACAGGCATTTATGCTGTACATAGACACTGTACCTCATCATGAAAAAAAAAAAGATAAGCATAGTTAAATACATTTCAAGGTTGCCAAGACAGAAGAGTCAAGAGATCACTGCCTGATGTTGGTAATTATACCAATTTCAAAATGTCTTTGTTAATTCAGGAGAAAAGTGATGATACAATGTAAGAATTTTTGGGGTGACCTGGACCCTCAAATCTGTAGACTCCAGATAAATAACAAATCTCATTATTTTCCTCAGAAATGCTCAAAAAAACCACCACAATATCAGTACAGAGGGCAAACCAATATAGCTAGTGAATAGATATTTAACAGTGTTAATTTATTTGCTATGAAACAGCAAATACCTGTCTTACGACCAACGAAACCTCTTTGGTTACATTTTTATCCCCTAGAACTCTCAGTTATTGTGCAAATAAAAGGATTGCTAAGACCGCAGTAAAAATAAAACACAATAGATTGCCATAAGTTTATTTCTTTTCTTAATATTCGGGATGAGTAAGTATAACAACTTTAAATACCATGGAAAATCTAGTTATAAAAACAAAGGCTGCATGAACTAACTAGACACAGAGCTCTTACTCATCCTTTCCTCATGAAACATTAGAAGTTTTAGTGCCAAACTTTACTTAGAGAAAAGATGATAAACGAAAAACTTTTCTGACACATTCACTTATGTTTTTGGGGTTTTGGTGTTTTTTTTTAAGTTTCAGCCTTGGGCTAAGAATGGGTATGTTCACCTGGTTCTAAGTAATTCAAACAGCACGTGGTATGGAAGATAGTACTCTGAATTGGAACTCATTGCCGTGCAGATCAAGTGCATTAATAAATTATACAGGACTCAGTCTACCAGAATACGAAACAAAATGGGTTTCAGCTAGGCAACCAAGAAGCTTTTTTAGGCAAGTCTGGTTTACCTCATATTTGCAGTGGACTCAAGTACTAACTTGACTGTTTAAGGTGTTTTCCTACTGATTAAGTTCAACAAAGCTTCTCAAAAAAGAAGGTAGAAAAAGTGAAAAAAAAATAAAGAAAAAGAACATGGATAGAAAAAGGAAAAGTGGGAGAATAATCTGAAAGGCAGCAACGCGGCATACTGTGTCATGCTACAACAGCACCACAGTTCACACTAAAACAGGTTTTGTCACTGGAGCTATCCTAGCCACGGCGCTTCCTGGAGATAAAGCTTGTACTAGCATCAGGAGATCTTCTGCCTCCTAACTACACGAACGCAATGTCTGTGCTGTAGATATGAAAGAAAATCTTACAGCAGAAGATGTCTTTTGCACATTAAGCACATAACAACACACTTGAGTTTTGCTGGCAGTTATCTTTGTTAGAGATGAGTCAAGGCTTCAACCAGTGCCGATACGCCATCAAAACTTTGTAGCATAATTCTGGTCAAAAGGACATAATTCTGCCACCAAAAATACAAAGACACTGCTGAGCTAACTCTTGGATCGTGGTAGTTTAATAATATACTTAAACAACATGAGTAGACAAATTACCAAAGAGCAATCCTCTAGCTATATGACAGCAGAAAGCACAAAAGTGCTTCAAGGATCATATGACTGTGTAACGGAAAAATTCCAAGAAAACTTCTGGAAGCCCTAACTCACAGAAAGCTTAAAGGATGATGTTTATGATATTTAGTTCTCAACATGTTATGTTAATTGTATATCTATTACTTAAACAGTCAGGATTCACTTCATATTGTAAATATTTTAAGCATAATACATTTTTGACTTAATAAGTATTTCCCATTTATTGTGTCATTGTCTCTCCGCCCCTCCTATTCCATTCTCCCATGCTACTGCTGTCTCTATATCAGCCCTCCTCCAGGAGAGCCTGCAATGTCCACATTTCTGTAATATATTTCAGAAGGTGTTCAACAAAAGGATCTTTAGAAACACCAGGTACAAACAGCAAGTTGTTCAGGCTGTCATTTGGGAACATGTGAATTGGAATTACCTTTTTAGCACTCTTCTAAGCCAACACGCAAATCCTTGTCCCTACCAACCAAGCAGAACAAAAACATCCAAGCCATAATAAACTTAGTGCCCTCATATTTCAAAAGGTTCAAAAGTTATTGCTTTATACATGTCTGTCTGCAACACTTCGCAATCTGAACAGCAAGCTGAGGAATCCTCATAGGAACAAAATACAGAGCAGCTGAATCTATCAATTGTGGCAAAAAAATGATGTTTGACAAATCTTATCTCGGCACACTCTCATGAAATGAAGTTACAGATTGCTAATGTTTATTTCAGCTTACTCACCATGGCAACCAAAATCATTGCATATTTAGGTTTACAAGATTTCATATTTTTTTGCAGCTTGGATCCGTTTTCTTGTGAGCAACAATTACAAAAACCCATGTGCACACATCACTCAATTGAAAGAAGAAAATTACAGTTTTGTAGCACATACCTATGATGCCCGATATGTCTTGCTCTTTTAATGTGCCCAACTCCTTTACATCCTGCTGTGGGACACCCTCCATGCTCTAAAGCTTCCACCAATTCCAAGGGACCTGCGTGTCAGTGGAAATTACAGTGGAGATCAAAAAAAGTATCTAATCTTTCCAAATTATATAAATATATAAATTATAGGAATACCAGAGGATCACAGCAAACATGAAGAAGTCAGTAAACAAAATCTAATTTTAAAGTACTTTAAAAATACCTTTTGCAAAAGCATGATGAAGATTCAAACAACCTAATTCACCGGAGAAATAATTTTATTCTGTGTGAGTGATTTTATTCTGTGTGAGTGAATCTCTACAGGAGAGCTACATCTATATAGAAAATGCAAATTCTGGAGGAACTGTATGACTTCAACTTTCTCTCCTATTAACTACCTATAGTTGGAACCTTGTTGTTTTGCAAGAGCACAGGCAAACTAAGTTCCCTGCTGTTCCCGAAGACAGGGATCTGTCTGTAATGGGTACTGACCTTCGCCGTTTTTAGCTCAAGTTTTCCACTGAACAAGATGTGAAAACAAAGGCTGAAAATACTACTAAAAAGAACAAGCCACCAGGAGATTTTTGACATTTTCACTTATCTGAATTTATGTGTCTATCTGATTTTCATCAACCTGTAACAATGACGCCTGCAGAGAGATTAAAGCATGTAGCTGTCAAAACTAGCTTTGACACTCAAGCAAACATGGTATATAACCCACAGGTTCAGAGACTTACTCCAGTGTAGGAAACTAAGAACGCCTCCTGCACATCTGCAAACATGCACTGTCTCTCTAGTACCAGTTTTACTTGAAAAGTACATGAACTTGTATCTCCCCCTACAGATAACAAACTCACATGAAAGGTCTACTTAAAAAAATTTTCCAAGATGATAGATTCTTGCTTGCAGATGGATAATAAAAGACGGATAATAATTATGTAAAATTAGGACAGTCCAAAAGCATTTTTTAACAAACGTCCCACCTATGCTAATGTTACAACACTATGTCCGAAGACTTCTATAGACTTTAAAATGGTGTAATGGATGACAGAACAGAGAATTTTATCTTTTCTACCTTTATGCAAAATTGATGTCTTTAAAATAACAAGTTAGTGGACTCAGCGGAAGAGTTAACTTAATAGGGATGCTTTTGTAAAGGGAAGTCCTGCCTCACTGATCCTCTGGTTTTGCAAAAACTAGCTCCCTACAAATGTTCTCTCTTCACATAAAAAAATCAATCTCTCAAAAAATGTAATTTAAAAGAGCTGCAACTGGCTGTCCATATTTATGCAAGAAGCTGCTGCTTGTGTCACTGTGAAATACTAAAATCAACACCAATATACAGCTCTTAATTCCCTAACTGCTATCAAAAAGGTCACAATCCATCACGAAGACTTAACTACATCTTAAGAGAAAATACTACGAATACATAAATACTGGGAGCATAAGGCCATTATGATGACTGCTCTAGACTAATATTGCTAACATCATGCAGTGTTCACATAAAGCTTCGAGTGTTGAAGACAAGGATCTCGACTGCATCATTAAAACAACTGTCTTAGTGACTGAGGAAAAATTGTGTCTGGCAAAATACTTTCTTCCCTCCTTCTGAAACCCCTTCACAAAACTTGAAATGTACTTTAACTTACTTGGAAACAATACTAATATTTTAGAATATTCAATAGTCTATACCATATTCTATGGTAATAATAGATTGGAAGAATATATTATTCGGTAATTATTCTATTTTAATAGCATTTGTGCAGTTAATTATTCTTTCTCTATTTAATGGATGGTCACTTGCCCTCCTGTCACATCGTCCATTTTCATTTTTGTAGCTTAACTAGTATCAAAAAGTCACTTCCACCAGTCACATGTTGAAGGACACGAAGAGTGCTTCCTACGCCATCGCCTAGAGGAGACGACCTGTTGTATGTGATGGGCGCCTGCATTTTATTTCTTTTAATGTCTCCAGCAAAATAAACGTACATATTTTATACTCTCACGTAGGCTAAGGTGCTTTCCCCCTCTCAAATCTTAGTTAATAAAAACGTCGCAAACTTATTCAGCTCTTTCACCATATGATATGATTTTCATTTACGTGACCACAGACTACTTACTCCCACTGGACCCTTCCTTCATTCAGTACACAGGATGCACACCTCACATTAAGAAGCAGATATGCAGCATCTTATCTCCTCCTCGTTGTTCACTTTGTGCTTTGGCACGTACGTCACTCTATTCAGACTCTGCTTTGAAGGGACAATGATTAACTTCCTAACGGGCAGTCATCACTCGTCCACTGGAGCGCTCAGAAAACTAGTGAACATACTCTGATCGTGCTCTTGATAGGAAACGTCTTCTTGACATTTTAGAGATGCTGAATTGAGGTACTGAGATTTTCAGGCAACACGTTCACACGATCTGTGCGTGCCTTATCCTAGTTATTTTACATTTGAATTTTTCAGAGTACTTGGCATTGCTCAGCATTTCTTATTTTCCAAGCACAGCTCTTTCTGATCTCAGTTACAGCCGTGAACACTCAGCACTTGTGCACACCATACCTCAGAGTCACAATATAAAACAATTCCAGAGAAGAGCACTCAATTAAAAATTATCTGTTCAAAGTTTGGCTAAGGTGATTTCACTATCACTATCCAGAAACACAATGGCATAGGCAGGAATATCTTTACCACAGGAGCCTCTTCTCCCTGCAACCTTCAGTCTCATTTACGACAGACCTTCCTCTTCTTCAACAAGTAAAACAAAATCCCCCGAGAGAGCGAGCCAGTAAATACAGTATTATTACTGGTACCATGATTCTGTTTGATTTATCTTCCATGTGGGCACCATTAACCCCTCTTTGCTCAGCTGAAGAAGAAAAGGAAGTCAGCTGGTATTGAGGATTTGCCACAGCGTTTGAAAGGAGTGCCTTCTCAGTGCAGCCTGGAGTCCTTCAAGCTAAAAAGCACACTGACCTTCACGAAAACGTGGACAGAAGCTTTTAAGAGCGATGCCCTATCCCTACCGAGTACCACAGCAGTTTCATCACTGGCTTCCAGAGGGCCGGGATTTTAAACAACAGATTTTTATCATTACTTCAGGTTTTGACTGTGGTTCTTACGCATAAATTGTATTTCCATTATAGTAAGGGTCAATAAAGCTATCTACTAAAAAGTGATTAATTACTGTTGATTTTGCACTAAATGTCACATTTACATTATTTTGCATATCCTAGTTGCTACTCTTCCTTGGATAGCACTGGCAGGGAAAAAAAGAGCACATGTCTTTTAGCATCATTACATTACAATGTGATTTCTCTTACTAAGCGGGGGCTGAAGAGGATGTCCGGTTTTTGTACACCAGCCTGCAGGATGGATATCAGGGCTATCTACATCAGTCCAATAATCATAAATACTATCCCAGCCATCAAAATGGACCTAAAACCAAAAAGAAGAAAAATACATTTTAGATCAGAAAAATTCTCTATAAAATCTGTTTCCCTAAGTAATCTCTAAAAACGGCATGTCCATTAGAGCAGTCACTTTCAGAGAACCATCAACGTTACACAGAAAATACATGTACATTGGATTCTGGACCCGGGCATACTCTCACTGAAGTAAAGACAGAGGTGTTATTTCGTTGTTTACTATGTCTTGTACCATTAGGCTCAAATCCCAGGAATAAAGCAGGACAAGTTTAGTCCTCACATTAATACTTAAGCATGAATTTCTGCCTTTTTTCTTCCTCAAAAAACCCAAAAATCCAATCAGTTTTTAATCTCCTGTTTGAACAGGATTTAAGAATAGCAGAGCTTTAAGCAAAGGACTAAAAAAAACGTCCTTTATCCATAAAAAACCAAACAAAAAACTGCAACGTACACGTAACAATTTTACTAAAATCAGACTATACAGGATAGAGTTGAAACTGAAGAGAAAATGAAGTATGTGACTTCCCAGAAAACTCCCAGTATGGGCTCTACGTGTGTTTTTTCCAGGTGAAAGCTAAGCATCTTCCAATCTTACTTGACCTCTGTACTAGTAAATAGCTCAGATCTCTCATGCGCGCAGGTGTGGATGCACATATACACAGATATATACAAACAGAGCTCTTTCCACATATCCTATGGAGTCAAATTATCACCCCAGAAGTTACAAATTCTGTCATTTTAATAAATTAGACTGGAGTGGAAGCTGGGTGTGCTGTTTTCGTGTTTTTGGTTGGGTTTTTTTGCATGACCAACTTAAAGTTTAGATAGAAAACGTGTAGGTGTGAAGATATTAGTTCCGATAACTCTCTACCACCAGTCAATTCAGATTCAAAATTAAATGTCAGCTGCATCTCCTGCTTGAAATACCAGGTATGCCTAATAAATCTGTACAAACTGAAAACACAAATATCCTTCCAATCCATCTAACTGGATATCTGGAATATGCTAGCCCTTCTAACAGTTAAGGGCTTGAGAGCGTAAACTGGTTTTGTACAGTAAAAGAAAAATAACTCAAGTATACAACTTCTGGAAAACAGTAATTTCTTAAAAATACATCATCTGAGATGAATCCATTCTAAAGTCCATAATTAATATAAACTTCAGAATTGCAGGAGTCACTGACAATGCCCAAGAGATCAGGGCTATTTTTTCACATCTCACTTTTATCCCTCTCCTCTCCCTATAAGTTTGCAAAGACAGGTTCAATTAACCCAGGCCAAATATTTTATGGGCCCTAATACAAATATCATAGCAGCCCTCTGACACTTGATATTAAATCATTTATTTCTTGGCAGAACAGACAACTGTCTTATATCAACTATTCCCAAAGCAATTTTCCAACATATTCAACTCTGCTCTCTAAGTACCTACGTCAGCAAATATAACTAAAAGGATAACAAAACAACCTCTTCCAAAGGAATTATACACAAACTAATCAGTGAAAAGGATGAGCAAAAGCTTAGCAGGACACAGCAATATGACTCATTTCTTCCTGTGCTTAATTTTACACAACACAACTATAGGGTTTTGGTTTTACAAAGTACTCATCACTCATTCAAGCAGGGCAGTACAGTAAGACAGAAAAACTCACTTTTATTCTATAGTCATCAGTATCTACAATGGTTGCTACTCTGATAAATACTGGATTTCTCTTGTCAACCACTTCAAGTTTCATGTTTTTCTGAAAGCCGTGAGAAGGTTTCTATAAAAGAAGAACAATATTCTGTGAAACAGAAGAAAACCTCAAAAATCTCACACAATTGTAAAGCATACAAAACTGTAGAAAACTTCCTGCCTTCTTCTTCTCAAGTGTGCCCTCCCCTTCCAACAAATCCAACTATAAAAACATCATTCAAATCAGGTTCTCCTGGAATGGATTGGATTCAAGCAAGTAAGTGGGGATCTTTATTTTAAATCACTCGTTTTTTTTTTCCTAAATTCTCTAGAAAAGTTTTCCCAGAGATTTTGATCAACAGTTTCAATGCAGTATTAAGTATTACATACCAGCAGCCTGAAATGTCTGCGAAATTGTCTACAGGAAACATATTTGTGGTTTTTAGTATGTGTTTTCGCTTCATAGATCAAACTCTCCTTTTCATTCTCCTACTGAAAACATAACTAATCCACGGTGTAACAGCAAGGACTCACTCAGAACAAACAGAACCAAGTATTTGTTTTGTAAGACTATTTTGGCAAAAAAGGTGTCTTCGTTAGGAGTATTGGATTTTATCTTTGCCATCTACAGCTATGAAATCTAAAGCAAAAATTATTTCCTTTTTAAAGGAACACATGCACAAGACGTTATGTTTTTTATTTTAGATTTCTACGAAAATAACATACCAGTCCCTCTCAGACTTTCCAGAACATTGGTGGTTTTTCCTCAGCTGCAGCTTAAGAGCTTTGGGCAACCTGGTGTAGTGGAGGGTTTCCCTGCCCATGGCAGGGGAGTTGGAACTAGATGATCTTTAAGGTCCCTTCCAACCCTAACCATTCTATGATTCTATGATTCTATTTTCTCCCGTAACACGATATAAAGTACTGTGACTGTCTCAGGAAGAATTCACCCAAATTCCAACACAATCAGTATTTTATTCCCATTAAATTTGCTTTCTTGTTCTCTACCACAATTAGCATTAATATGGTTACCATTATATTAGTACAGAAAGCAGGGAGGTGATTTTTTCTGGCTGTGAAACCTAAAGACAGAGCACAGCTGACCCCCATGCTGTCACGCTCTCCTTCCCCTCCATCCTCAAAGCCAGGCGCTTGTCTAAGCTACCACTTGGGATCTACACCATCCCCTGCCGCTCTCTGCTCCTATGGTTTCTGGACGAGTGCTGAGCCATGCCAGCTTGTGCTCTTCCCGTTTAACGCTGTCAATGTCTGCACACTTGGGGCACGTCCTGTTCAGTTTTCCGGCGCAGGCACAGGCAGCCAGCCCGGGCTCCCCGAAGGTGGGGCGTTCCCACTGCCGAGCCCTGCGGGGTGGCTGTTCCCCAAACAGCAGGGGGAGAAATTAAAAAAACATGGATGCTCTGAGAGAAAAAGAAAATGTTTGCTTTTGGCTTGATGTAGTCAAGGTCACAGCCCTGCACTGTTTTGCCAAGGACTATACCTCTCAGACATAACCAAATATCCTCGTAATCCTTGCTCCCAGTATTCTTGCTGAGAACATAAGATGAGACATGTTCTTGAGCCAGATGCATTTTGGGGTGATAAACTGCAGGTCAGTAATAAACCCTGGTGATCTGCTAACCCCAGGAACTGCTATAAGCACGACATTTCTGCTTCCGTTAATCCAGCTCTTAGCAAAGCGTTATTCAGAATTCGTGACCCTAATCCAAAAAGCCGAGGCGCACCAGCTTCAGCGTGCGGTCAGACGAGGGGCTGGCAGCTACCAGTCATCTCATCATGCTGGACCCCAACAGCAACCAGTTCTGCACTACTGACCAGTCTGCTTCCCTCACTGAAATCCTAAGAGCTCATGACAGATGGGTGTCACTGAAAGAAACTAGCAAGTACAAAGCTAGAAGAAAAGGATGCTTTTCACAAACTCCATAATTAAGCTGAGGAACTGCCTGTGGACGCTGTCCACCTGCCCTAGTCACAAGCTCGCAGAAGAAAAAGTCTACTGAAGGATATTAAATACAAACTGTCTCTTGGCTACTGCCAGAGAAAATGGACTAGATGGGCAACCAGCCTGACCTCCTGCAATCATTTTTGCATTCTCACTGTATTTACAGCACCATTTAAAATGTACAGATAGAAATACGTATGTTCAAAATATGATGACTCAGTAGCTATCTCATTATTTCTAACAACTAGGCATTAATTTGCCATAGCAAATTACATTCATTAGTAATATTTTATACCATTTAATCCCATTTATAATGATCAAAATAATAAATTAATAGTGATTTATAGTAATAATTATCTGATTTCTAACAGTGAACTGCAAGCTTGCATGAAAATAAACCACCTATTATGCAACTAATTAACTGGATACATTTGGAAACACAGGAACACTGCATATGTATTCTCTTCTTAAACTAATTAATTACATGCACTTAAAAGCATGAATAAAAAAAAAGCATTTTCTCACCACTTTAAAAGCCCTTGCAGGTGCAGGTAGTGAACTGGTTTCTTCCAAATATTTCTCCCACGAAAAATGCTTAGCATGTGGATAATCTGGCACAGAATAAATACGAGAAAAATTAAACACTGCAATGCAAAAACCAAAACTGATGTCTAATTTACAGAATGCCTAACACTTTCATAATACTGTTCTGATTTATGCTTCAGATTTATGAAATAATTACAAGAAAGGCTATTCTAAATTGTCTCTGACACATTCACCATGTAGGTTAAAAACCACAACAATCTTCTCATACGCAGTATTGAGTAGCTAGCATAAAACGTCACAATTGCTTTGGGTACAAGAACATAAATAATATGACTGGAAAAATCTTCCCACTTAATTCAATAAATTCATTCAAGTATTATAAGCCTAATCCTGTATTTTATAAACAGTAATTTACTGGCTAACACAAGCTAATCAGTGAAAGCTTTGTACCACGGTAGAGCACACCTGCTATTCTTTTATTCAACTAAATTTCTAAAAAAATAGCCTAGACACCTACTATAAGAATAATTAACAGACAATATCAAGTTAGATGTTGCTTCTCTCAGAAAGTGTCATGTTTACAAACACTTTATGCAAGAAACACAAAGACAGACTTGCTCTCAAAGAAAAGGCAGTGCCTGTCCTTCATCTTCAATCTGCACTAGAAGTTTAATGTGAAGCTCAAATGTCATGCTTCACAATCTAGAACAGAACAAAACCAATTCTGGTTTGTTTTAAAAGAAATTTAACTGAATAACAGGCTGTAATTAACCTCCTGACAGATTGCTTACGACTTTTCAAGATTGCTGGTTATTAGAATTTCTGTCAAAGTTGGTTTTAAGCAATTAAAATTTTCCATGTTCTCGGACCACGAATGGCAGTTTCTGCAGCAGGGCACTTAGATCATTCACAGCTATACACAAAGTCCTGAAAACCAGTGGTGGTCTTATACTTTGTACTAAAGATGTTCATTCTTCTGCATGGTCTCTCATTGTGCTTTTCTCCCTTCCAAAGAGCTCCTACAAGTTTTATTCCTAGATCACATAAAGCAATCTTCTCATCAACTCATTATCTTGCATATTTAGTTCATGTGAAGATGTTTTCCTTATGCAACAATCTCACACATCTGGAATTTGTTTTATCAGCATTTTCACAATGTGAGTCTTCTAAGTGAATACATTCAGCCAAAAATACAAACTTGTTTAGATTCCAAGGGATATCTTTCACGGACAGATGTCTCTTCACTAAAGCAGCATACATGTGCATTTGTAACACCTCATGCCTGCTCTACTTCTACTTTCAATATATTATGTCCTGTAAAAAAATTTAGAATTCCCCAAATACCAATTTTCAATTACAGAAAGAAAAATTCAAGAGAGGTAACAATAAGCTTACTGTAAGCTTTATTGCTTCTAGTTGACTATAACCTCCTTAAATCTTTCAGATGTGTAGTAAGATACAAACCTGGTGGGGTGATGAGAGTTCTTTTATGTTCTTTACACCATCCAACAGGATGAATATGTGGACTAGCTGCCTCACACCTGGAGGAGGGGGAGAAGAGAAGGGATTGATAATGCAGATCTTCAGACATAATATCATGCTTAGAAAACAAGACATACAAAAAAGATTTAACAAATTCCAAATAACCTACGACACCTTTGACTTCTACTTGAACTGTAAACATAATCTGAAGATACAAATGCATTTAATATAGACTTGTTACCACCTAAACAAGCATAAGGCTTTATTTACAATTTCACTGGGAGATCAAAAAAATCAAGTCCTCTAAGTCACTTGAACTCCACTGAGAAGCTATAATGCTGGACCTGAAAAATTCACATGTAGAGACTCTTGGTAGAAACATGCTGGCTGGTTGCAAGAACACAGTAATCCCATCAAAGACAGATGGGGTTTTGCAATGCCAAGACCGAAACTTTAAAACCAAAAGCTTCAAGACCTTGATCAACAATCCAACTTGCACCTGGAGGCAGATTACCAAATCATGTGTAACTGCAATGCACTGTTAATAACAAGTAAAAATTCAAAATCAGATTCTGAGTGGTTTGAATGGAGTTGTAAACACATTATTATAACCCAGCAGCACACAAGCAAAGTATGTCTGAGAAAAACTGTCAGCAAAAAAGAATAAAACAGCATTTTAGGCCTCAAACTGCGTGAAAGAATCCAGAACTAATCGCTGACCCAAGACTGCAAATTGCTCTAAAAAAGCTGATTAAATTCTCTTACTCAAGGGACTAACAACTTCCCATATTTTCTGCCATGTGTATCAAATTTTGCACTAAGGCTGCTGCCCGTGGCATGCCACAAGAACCACAGAAGACTAAGAGAGGCAGGGTGAGCGACACCTGACATGTGCTGGCATCTGTCTGAAGCAGGGAGAGATCGCTGTCACTGTGCTCACTGGTTCAGCTACATCATGCTTAGCAAAAGCAGCAGCCTGCGCTGGCTATCAAACTCTGTTAGAAACACAAAAAAAATCACACACTGCAAAAATGTAGTTGATATTTTAAATGTAAATGTGTATATATATATATACACATATAAATGTATATATATATATAAATGTATATATAAATGTAGTTGAAAGCCAACTGTACCCTGGGCTGCATCAAAAGGAGCGTGGCCAGCAGGTCGAGGAAGGTGATTCTG